TACCGAAATCTGAACAGCTGAACTGTTCGGTAAAATTTATGCAATTCAATTCAATTGCTTTTCAGCTACTTTGAAACTAAATCTCCACTAAAATGACAAGATGTGATCATTTAAACAAGGTTGAACATGTTTTGAAACTATTTTGAAATTCAATAGCCTTTAAAATGAAGGTCAAAGTTTTACCGAACGTTCAGCTGTTTTGATTTCGGTAAAATTTACCGAACACGAAAAGAAAATCTTAGTGTGTACTGATGTATGGTTGTTGAAGAGGCTAGCATCTGGAGGGTATTCTTGGGCTAGTGAATGCCACCCATCCCCACTTATAATTCAGTAATACACTATTAATTCATTTCTGTTTGATATTTTTACAAAGTTTGACAAACAGAAATTAGCATTGCAGTGTAGTTACCAATTTTCCAAGTCATAGACTTCAGATAACTGTTCAAAGTCCCAGGTTTTTTTTTAACGGAATCTTGAACAAAAACCAAAGACCACTATGACAAACGTGATCGGTCTGAAGTGATCTTTTGGCTAACTAATGAAAAGCGGGAGGCAGAACATAGACATTGTTTTAAGGTTCAATTTACTTTTATGCCTTTTTTTTTTAATTCAGAAGCAGTTTTTTTCGACGCATTATTTTAGATTGCAAAAAGCTCGCGTCATTTTGTGTAAAATATCAAAAGGAATCGAATAGTGCGAGCTTTTTGCAATCTGAAATAATGCGTCGGAAAAAACTGCTTTTGAAATTTTCCAAAAAGCATCAAAGTAAATTGAACCTTAAGGTGATACGATCCAGAATCTCGAGCTCTGGTTCCACTTCACTTTTTCCAGGAGTCCATTATCTGCTACCGGAAAACATACAATAACAAAACTGTGATGACAATTTAGTGCCTCAAATCGCAATTGTGCCCGAGATTAACTCCCTAGAAAAATCGAAGTGGCAGTGAACGTGCCTATGATTTGTGGACGCTGAATCGCATCACCTTAAGAACTCAGTATGTTCCATTCCCAGGTTAGACATTTTCTCAACTTCCCTGGGCATAGAGTATAACCACAGACAAACAGACATAACACTCACAATCACATTCATCGCAAATAATGTTTTAGTTGGGAATGTGCTTGCATTTGTCATGGTGGCGCCACTGAAGCATTGAGCAAGCCACCAAATTTCGAACGTATCAGTGATGCCAGTTCTTTTTCATGTCTAGGTACTAGATGTCAGCTCTTGAAAATGATAAGTGGTCAAGGCATCCTACTGGAGACACACACCACATCTGACGAATACAGAAAAAATAGTTGTTGAATATTACATCGAAAGTGCTGCACATTAGTCATTCCGTTCCTAATATCACGCTGCACGATTAACACAAAATTCGAGAACAAATCATGTTGATGACTGAAATATTCTATCAACTTTTACCCTTTTTACCAGTTATTGATGTTCAATACTTCGCCATGAATTTCATTGATTGATACATATTATATTTTTTGCTGTACACACATTAAAATGATGAGCGGTGGTACACTGAAACAAATCGACAAGTACGGTTTATTGGATCCATCTTATAACATAGCAATGTCAGAAGACTTATTCATTGTATGTGATGATTGATAGATTCCATTGGATTATCAGTTAAAAACTAAAACTGCGATATGGAATGATTTCTATCGTAATTTCACATACTTAGTACATGACATTCCCTTGCTTCTGATGTGGTTAGCGATGGGTAAGATGTATATGAATATTGTCTGATATATTTTATAGTGAAACCCTGTTGATATGTCATGGGTGGGAACGGACATCTAGAAACTAATGGAAATTCATATAAGTTTGCACTATAAGCAAATCCAGTAAAACAAACCTGTTTTCGTGATGAATATTGCTCACTAAAAGATATATCTTATATGACAGCCATGTATATTTTATTGGAGTTGCTTTTAACGATTTTTGACATTTGTTGATATTTTGCGTGTAAAAAGACATGTAGAAAGTATTGGACAGTCATTTAAGTTTGCACTATAGTAAAACATTTATATCGCATTGGAATAGCTTCCGACAATTTTTGAAGGTTGTAGATTGTTGACAGATCCATGCCAATCATTAGATAGTCATATAGATTTGCCTTTAAGGAATCCAACTGCAAACATTTGCTTTGGCATGGTTTTTGGGATGAATATCGCTCCCAATAAAATACATATTATATGATTGTTCTGCATACATTATTGAAATAATTTTCAACGATGTTATCGCACACTCATTGAACATGATTGTTAGTCGAACTAAATACTGCTTACAACAATGATACTTATAATCTTTACTTGTTATTGGCCCATAAGATAAAGTTCCAGAAGAGAATGTATTGAAATTGAAAAAAAAAATTACTGCGATATTTACTTTGCTAAAATTATAATTGTAAGCCTTCTACATGGCTTATTCAGATTTCCAAGCACTAGTACTGGAACTTCATGAACCAGTTCCATGAACGCATATAATTTGGTCATTGTTTTATTGCACACAGGAGCATTAAGATAGATTAGAACAAAAGACACCACCGAAGCGGAACATAAGTTTGTCAGTGCTATATTTCTTCACTCTAGCAAAACGAGCATAACGTTGCACTACATTCCATGTTGGAAGAGTTGATGTTACTTCATGCTAATTGAACGAGCTCAATCTCAAAGTCATTCGTGGCCCAGTGGAACCGAGCGCAGACACCGACAGCATCACACCTCAACAGTCCTGGATCGAATCCCAAATCAGCTACAATAAAATAAAATAAACGCAACTGTGAAGGCACTCGAAGCACCACCTCCCACTGTCTGATGTTTATTTTTCGATTTATTCTTAGAACCGATAAAATATATGTGTCAAAATACAAATTAAATATCGTGTGATTTTAATATAAATTTTAAAAATATTGATTTATGACATGTATATGATATTTTGGTGAAATATAAAGCCTGTGCTGATGGGTTTCAAATCCATTTCAGTTAATTCTTGTAAGTTGACCAATTTTCATTTATCATATGAAGATCATATAAAAGTTACCTACATACCAGCATTGGAAATGTATAAGATATACATATAAAATTTACAATCCACATAACAGGAATATGTCATATTGGTTCAGTGGAGAAAGGGCACTTGATGCATTACCTCGTTTAAAAACTTGTTTCCAGCAAAAGAAAAACCACACTAAACAAACAAAACAAATCCCTAAAAAAAAGTCTTAGCTTCTGTGAATTTTTCCAACGGATCCGTATTTCTGCAGAATTCAAGCAATTCCATAGATCTACGGAATATTTAGTAGAACCGAAATCACTGACTTCCATCTGTCCAGAACGAGGAAAAAGCAACTAGTTAAAAAATGGCATGAACGAGGATGCTCTAGTTGCACATCAATGCTTGGGAATGTGGATGATAGATGATACTAGTGCGCATGCAAAATACGCTTGACGATATTTTTTGAAGAATTTTCTTCTAAGAGTTATGTCTGTTTGTCTGTGGTATAACCATAGAGGTAACTCATAGCGAATCATAACAAACATAGTGTAGTACTGGAATTTATACTAGAATGGCGTACGTTAATCTATTTTCTTGGAACCAATAGGCTAGTCAAGTAGTGAGCCAATTTAAAATCGTTAGTTTCGTATTGATTGTTGGTATCACTGTTCTTGTAATAATACAGATTCATGCATTGGTTGGCATAGAAAGCTTTCAATTAATTACTGTGACTTTCAAGCTTCAGGAAAAGTCATGTGAAAAGAGGGAAATCAAAGCATTTCTGAAAATTTCATAGAACCTCGTGGATTTCAGAAAAGTTTTTCAATCATCTAAGACACAGAAAATATACGAATTTAAAAAAAAAAACTTTATATCAGCATCAGTGAAATTCATCGACAATATCCGTGGAAATAAAACAACTTCTAAGAACTACAAAAGACTCTCTTAGAAGTTCAGAAAATAAATACTTACTTTAGAGAAGTCCTGTAAATTTCGAAGAACTTCTGCAAGCTTCAGGAATAATAATGAAACTCCGAGAATTCTTCTTTGACAATGATAAATATTTCTGAAGTTTGCTGAATTTTGAAAAAGTTTTCAAAAGTCATGTGAAATTTACAGAAGTGTAGTTTGATTATTTTTGAAGATCACATGTATTTTTTCAAGTCCACAAATGTAGTTATTCCAAAGACCTGCAATTGATTACATAGCTGTATAATATTCTCTTGATGTCTCGGGCAATTTTTGAAATATTTTTTTCCGTTAAAAAAATCTGTAGTTTTTTGGTACTTTCAACGTACTTTTCAATTTTAATGTATGATAATTAACTTTAATTGAGTTCCTTTCTAAAGAGCATTGATAGCTAACACTTAAATCTTTCTATTGATATGTAGAAATCAGAAAAACACATTAAGATTAAAAAAATAAAGCTAGCCAAAGTTGGCAATAAAAGAAAACATAAAATGTTGAATAACTCACTTAGCAGTCATTTCCGACCCTATGTTTCATGGGGATTTTTTCAACTGTTGTCAAACAACCTGATGCCGGATGCAATTTATTCTCGGAATTAACGATATTTTATTATTTACTATATTAAAACAAACTTTAACAATAAATCATCACAATAGTAATCCTAATTAGAGAGTTGTATAGATTTTTCTACTTTAGTTTACTTAAATCTTTGGTTTTTATTAGTTAGGTATGTTCCGATTCAACACATTGTATAAAAATGAAATTATACCTGTGATCTTGACTTTTTTACCTAGGAATGAGTGCTTAAGGGGGTTAGATTTTGATAAGTTCTTTAGTGGGAATGACACTAATGAAGACTGCACATTGTAGTCGAAATACGTATCCTGTCATGGATACCAAAATTAATTAAGTGGAATTAAATGGATGTTTTATTTAAGCATTCCACTAACAACCCAATTTCATTACTTCATCACAATAGTGTTGTCATTAAAGTAAATCTTTTTACAAAAGGTTTAAGTGGACTCACCTTTCCTGAATACACGAGGGTGGTAATCGTGTAGCATCCAATACACCATGCCATGGCTCAGCTGGGACAGGCTTGCGGAAGCGCAGACCATCGACTGGTGGTTTTGCAAACGGAACTCCATTGAACACATGTACTTCGCGACTTAGCACCATTGTCGAACGACCCCGAATAGGGCCACTGCTCGTCTGCACCACCAGCCGGTCGAATATTCCATATACGGGGCGGCTTATCACAGCTATGCACAGCAGGAGAGGAATCATGCTCAACCACAAACGTAAAGCTGACATTTTTTTATATTCTTGTAGATGATACACAATCAATCTTTGCTTCAGGGATGCTACTTTTCTCCACAATGGAAACCTTTGATTTTTTTTTTCTTTTATATCACTTATGAAATCTTTTACAGCTGATTACATTATTCGGCTGATAGAACGATATCGGTAGAAACAACTAAACTCACTTTGGATTTTTCCAAACAAAAACGAAATCAAAATTAAAATGTATTTTTCACTCAAAGTAACGATTTCACAGAAACCGATAACACATAGTGCCCTCAGATTAGAGCTTAATGCTTTTCCTCCTCTTCAATGATGATATTATTTTCCCGAAAAACACTACTCAACACCACCAACAAACACTCAGCGCGCTACAATGGTGCAGATCTCTCCTGGTTGGTTATCTTCAGTCACTGATACTGATACGATCGATTTCTGGAGAATAAATATGAAGAAATGGCATTAGTTCTTACGTTCCAAATTCTCTGTACTAAAGAAAGGGGGGTTTTGAAATTCAACCAACTAGAACGTGAGAATCATCGCAATTAATTACACAAAACATACATCTGTTCAAACCGCACGCTCAGTAAATAATAAAATGATTCTATTCTATCCGTCAACAATCATACCAGCCTAGTAGAAATCCAACCTCATCTGACTAGCTACAATCATTCCGTGATGGACTATCTCCTCCGTGAAACTATAATCACAACAGTAGAAACTCCCCATCTTTAATGTTTAGTTGGATTATGTCTGGATGGTGGTAAACAGAGGGATACTCAGTTTTTGGCTTTCGAATCTGTACAGTACATTTTTTTTAATGTAGACCAATAAACAAAAAAAAAATTATCTCCCACTAATCACTAAGATCAACACATTGATTTTTTGTAATATGTCCCAGTCCTTTGTTTAGTGCATGTCGAAGTACTTCATGACTATGGAAAAGTAATAAGGTACTCATTTTTGATACACATACTTGCTCTTCTCACAAGACTCATTCAATTGCAATGTCACGCATCATTCGAAGAGCTTTAGAATCTTTCCAAAGACGTACCCTCTCATTAATCAAAATAGTTTTAATAAGAAGCCTCATGCAATTATGATGTTCCATATCATTCGAATAGTTCTGGGACCTCTCCAAATACGCTCCTTCTCAAGTAAAAAAATAAGTAATGATACTACGGGGGGCGACCCCGGCGTAGTGGTTAGCATCCATACCTCTCACGCCAAAGTCACGAGTTCTAATCTCACCCCCGGAAAAGTCACGAATGACCCAAGAGCGTTAAAGTGACTATAATTAAAAAAAAAAAAAAAAAAAAAAAAAAAAAAAAAAAAAAAAAAAGTAATGATACTGAATTGTGACCATGCATCAGAACCCTGGCTCGAATATTTTTATGATTGTGATGGCGATGATGGTCCTTCCACTTACCCCTACAAAGTTTTGAGTTAGACGGTTTAGCTATAAGATAATTTATTTAAAAACATTCAACCCAGTTTTATAACGCAAAAACGAACTGATTTCATTTACAGATATAAATTTCTTCAAATTGTTAATTGCTTCATAAAAACATAAGTGTGAAAAAGCCGTTGATGTCAATCATAAAATTTCACCGGTATTTCCAGCGATCAAGAAAATCCTATTGATCGCTGCCAAAAGCTAATTTCTTGTCTGGCTTAGAGAGTCTTTCGCTTTTGCGACACTTTTCCAATAAAACACGTCTAATAGGGGAAAAATTTACTTCGACCTTCGCCCATTTCCGGCCTATCGAGCACAAATCATCAAATATAGCTATGATTTCGACGTGAACGTGTCAAACAAACGTTTGGTACGATGCTTCTATTCAATATCTGCAAGACGAAATGTTGGAGAACGGCACACAAAAGGCACACGCGAATTCACTTTTCTTTCCGCTGGATAGGCCAAAGAGAATCCCAATAGCGTTTGAATGGCTGATAGGCCCAAGAAAACCCGTAGGCCAAGTTGAGCCGCCAGAAACAGGTTTGCATTTTCAACAATAAATAAATATTTCGCGACCTCTTATCAAAACTAACGGTACAAATGGAAAAGTAAATAAATTTGGAAGTCATCTGTAAAAATAACATTCCATTTGGTTAAAACTACGCTAGATTAAGAAAGACTAAGTGCGGGTTGTGTTTAATAGGCCGGGAATGGGGTAGTTAACCCTAGTTACTTTTTTCTCCGGTCAAGGAGAAAAGTGTTCACTTCTCGATATCGAGAGTCTTTTCGGATTCAATAAACGTCCAAGTTCGTCCAAGATTTACATATCCCTTTCAATACCTGACTTTTGCCTAATTTTACCTATTCTATTAGCTATAATTCCAATCGCCCTTGAAAGGGTAAGTTTGTATTTGTTATACCTTATCTATGCCGTCTCAGATCTGGGATCTCTCGGTTATTTTGTAAATTTATTTCATTTCTTCTACTCGGATCTGAAGAGGTTTACAAGCTAAAAATTACGAAATTAAATAACAAAAAAAAAAAATAACGTTTAAGTATGAATTCTCATACTTCCTTAAGGATAAACAGAGAGAAAAAACGCGTGGGCGTGTTTAACTTAACTTGAACGCATTATCGTTCTTTTTTCCCTGCTTTTCATTTCATTTTCTTGAAGGTATCAACATCAGCAACTAGTGCAACTATGTGGATTAGCTTATGACTTTGATTTTAAATTAATTGCCTCGCGGTAACACAATCCTTATCACAACATCCAGTATGAGGACATTTTTCAACAGACAAGCCAACTCCGCCCACAACCGATACGGTCCCGACGAGACCACGTTGCAGCCATTTGGTCCAACCGGCGCCTAGTTCAAGATTTACATGGATACCATAACCATGACCAATGCTCTTACTTTCATCGGCGCCGGATTTGACAAGGAATTTTTCGACACCAATTAAAATCTTCAATGGTCAATTTTATTTTATTTTTTTCAAATTCAGGCGCGAGGCTCTAACTTTTGTACACTACACGCAGAGAAATGATTTTTAAATTCAAATGGATATAAATTGACTCAGGGCCTAGAATATTTTTTATATAGTGTCAAATATATTATTCGGTTAATTTACAGAAAAATATTTTTGAATCAACAAACCGGTTGTTGAGTCAATAATCTGTTTGTTGATTCTAAAAACCATTTTGTTGATTCAAAAATATGTTTTGTTGAAATAGTGATACAATATGCTTGAATCAATAACAAAATACATTAGGCCCTGAAACAAAAATCAATTTTTCTGCGTGTACTGTTTTTTTTTCTTTTCAAATTACTGCAATATAAAAACAACCCATCATCAACATCGTGAAAAAGATAATAGTTTAACTGAGCTAAAAAATCTTGAAAAAAATATGAAATCAAAATTGTCCACACGATTGAAGAAACTTCGTTAGTTACAATCTTCATCAATAAATAAAAAAAAGGAATTTAACTGCTCTAAAAGCAAAACAACGTGTTTTTTAACTTTTTTTTTTTGTGAAACAACATGTTTTTTTTTTTACTCTGGCAAAATTATAGAACGTTTTATGTGTCTGGACATCGAATTGAAAACATTTATTCCTCTAAAAAACAATGACGCGCCAAACAAAAAATACAATGTTCTAATTTCATATGCGCTTCTAGTATTAAATCTATGTATCACCCAATCACACAAACAATAATCACCCACACAAATATCGAGGTAGCATACAGTTAACTACTTTAAAAATAAACACCATCGTCAAGTAAACAAATATTTCCTGCATCGATAACCACTACAACGTGTTTAACATTAAAGATGAGAAAGTGAATCTATGACATCTCAAAATCAAACGCATTATTTGATTCTGTAAAAGCTTTAATCGCAATATTTTTGTGTCATTGCCTAAAAAAAAATAATGGATGGGCAAAATACTAAGTGTCGAGAGATGATGGATTTGTATAGCTGTATATGACTACATATATTCAAATATTTTTTCAAACAACAGAGAATACCGTACTTTTTGACAATTTTCTTGATGACATTGTCAATATGAGTTTTAATTTTGTCATCAATAATCACGCCAAGGTTTTTAATTTCCCGAACGCGATCACTATCTCACCATCACTTCGAACAGAGACTTCGATATTTACTCGATTCCGCGAAATAACGATAAATTTACTTTTACTTATATTCAGTTTCAATTGTTTAAACTTCAACTAGCTCAGAAGCCGGAGACGAACCAGCCCAGGGCTGAAAGTCTCCTTTATAAAGATATATATAAAAAAAACTAGCTCTGAGAAATCTTCATTCAAGTGTATTACCGCAGCTTCCAAATCTTTAGCTGCAATAGTACGGTATCATCATCAAAAATAAGCGGCGCCGGTGGTGTAGTGGTAAGCGTGATTACCTCTCACCCCAGCAGGCCTGTGTTCAATCCCATTCGGCGCCACCGGGATTTTCTGAGGCGACAACAAACTTTGTGAACTTATATTCTTCTGATCCGTAAACAGTGGTTTGTTGCTCCCGAATTCGGAACTCGAAACAGTTGAAATTTGTTCTCGTTGCATCCCGGGATAATGCAACGATCCTGCAACAACAATGAGAATGTTAAGCGGTGGAGCTTGTGTTTACGTAGTCTAAAAATTCAACTATTTTCCTGATTGCAAGCAGTGATATCATTGTAGTCATTTGTCACTTTGAAGAAGGACACTATTCCTGCAATTCTACAAGCTTTTTGACCACCAAAAACGTACCAAGACAAGACAAATTTTCAATTTGAAAAATGAAAATTCTGATGTGAGTCACGTTTGACAGATGTTTACATTTTTATCACCGCTACGACAACAGCGCCACGGGTGGCCGGTAATTGGTTGGATTTTACTATAGATTTGACTGATTCTTGAAGGAACAAGCAGCAACATTATATTCCGTTGGTTCTCAAACTTTTGTCGATTACATTACAGCCACATCCAGCGCTGTAGTGAGATAGGGCCAGCTGTGGCCAGATTTGGCGAAATTGGATTCGGCCACATCCAGCCACTTCCAGTTAAATCCAGCCACATCTGATCACATCGTGCTACATCCAGATACATCCAACCACATTCAGGCACATCCGACAACATCTAACCACATCTGACCATAAACTGCTACATCCTGCTGCATCCGGCTATATCCTTCTACATCTGGCCACATCCAGTAACATCCAGCCAGATGCAGGCACATCCGGCCACATCCTGCCACATCCTTATACATCCAGTCACATTCAGGCACTTCCAGCCACATCCGAACACATCCAGCCAGATCTGGCCACATCTTGCTACATCTTGATACATCCAGCCACATCTGGTTTCATCCTGATACATCCATCCACATCTAACCACATTAAGGCACATCTGGCCACATCCTGATACATCCAGGCACATTCTGCCACATCCTGATACATTCAGCAACATCCAGCAAC